TGTTGAAATTTAGGGTTTGGGGGCGTGGGAAGCGCTTGGCATCCTCTCCACAACTTTCCGGCACGTGCTTACACGCCAGCGCTCCAGCTGGACCCTCCCCTTCCCCGCCGTGTGCTATGGGTGGTTACTTCTTTCCAGCAAGGTCTGCACCTCACAAAAGAGTTAGAATTTCCTAGGTTGGCTTGGCAATCCATCGAGATGCATGCACAGAGCCTAAAACAAAAGAAGCCAGGAAGTCATCGCCATTGTCATTATTAATCATTCTTTGGTTCTGCGTTGTCTTCAGGCCCCCCAGCCCAGCACCAGTTGTAACATTTTCTTACTGAGCTGGAGGCCCACAGCTCCAGCAACTTCTGTTTTGGCTGATGCACTTGGCCTGATGTCTTTTCTGTTGGTTAATTTTCCACCCTGAACTGCCTGTTTTCTAGCCTCAAGAATGTTTGTCTTCCATCTGCTCCCCAGCTGGCTCCCAGTTCAGGCTCCTAAAGGTTAAGCTTGCGTTCAGGAGTATTCTTTTTGAAGCATTACCTTTTCTTTTAAAAATGCAATACATCAATGTTTAGAATATCAAAGCCCCCCCCCCACGCCACATGAAGAGACATCTAATTTGTTAGTCTGTGGCTCACAAGTCCCAGTAAACTTTCAAGTTTTCTTGCCACATATGCTTCTGTAATCTATCTGGCAATGTCCCCTCTGAGATCTACAATCCCACCCAGCCAAACTCACTAGTGGTAGCCAGTCTAAGAAAAGGCTTCTCATGGCTTCGGGCCCTTCTCCTCTCTGCTTCCTTGCTCCTCCCATCACCGGCCCCCACCACAGGCACATCTGTGCAGGATTCGTTGGCCCTCACATACCCTGTGACCAGGGAGGCCAAGGATGGAGGAAACAAGCCCACAGTCCCTTGGAGGCTTCTGACCTGCTCTGGGTTCTGCTCTTCTACAACATACCAAGCTTTCAACCAGAACCGAATGAAAACCCAGGAGCTCGGGTCAACCAGGGGCACTAGCATTTCAACCTGTGAACCCAAGTGCCTATTGAGCAGCCCACATGCCCACTGCAGCCCCAGCAGGGCACGGTGAGGCATCTGAGTCTCTGCAGGTTCAGGACAGGGATCCTGAGGGACGATCTCCTGCTGGAGAAGGTTCTGGTCCACCTCAGGGCCTGGATGGCCTTGGGTCTGTGAAACAGAGCACAAGCCAGGGCCTCAGCCAAGGCTTCAGACAGAGGGGTGGATGGACTGCTGGCTGTTCTGGGCTCTGGAGGCAGGGCCCACAATGTGGCCAAACAGAGCTACAGCTGGTGGGGCGAAGCCAGGCCTGACTGAGGATGTAGCACAGGCTTTGCACACCCAAGGCCATCAGAGTTTGAAGGCTGTGGAAGCATCTTCCTGGTGAGGCTGGGCAGGTCTCCAGGTAGTCATAAACTGACTTCACAGGCTTCATTCCTGAACACATGTTCAAAGGTGATAAAGTAAGTGCAGATGGTCTCTGAGCCTCAGTGGAGGACTTTACGTGGACTCAATGAACCATAAAGCACACAGAGACACATGTGTACTTGCACACAGAGGAAAGGGAACATGGAAAAATCTTCAGAAATGCCAAGCCCTGGAATAGTAACAGAGAGAGAGAGAGAGGGAGAGAGGGAGAGAGAGAACAGTATTGTTATAAAAACAACACACACATACTTCAGAAAGGCATATATGCAGAATGGCTAGCAAAGTATTAAGTGCTGTAATGTGAAAGGATTTAGAACTGCCTTTCCAGGTGATTCAATGGAGAAGAATTACAGGCCTATTAGTAGGACTGGGCCAGCAGTTTGGTCAAAATCCTGTAGGAAGGAAATGGCCTTTAAGGCTCAACTTCCATGGGCTAGATGATAGATATACTTCAGTTAGGACAAATCCTCTACCACAGAGCTTGGAGATCTCCACCAGAATTTCAAAATGAGGTTCGCATAAACCCCACCAAAAGCTAATTACTGCCACACCATCAGTAACACCAAGGGAGCATTACCCCTACATTCCAAGAAACAGATGGTATCACTGCATCTCAGAACTGTCTGAGGAACCAGGCAGCACCCCATTTTACAGAAAAGAAAACAAAGGCACTTGTGCAAGTTCACAGTTGGGGAGGGGGCTGGGGTCTTGGCGATAACAAAGCAGAAAGAAACCCCACCAACGGCTAGCGGGGCTTCTCTCCTAGGCATCTGGTGAGGCCCACATGCCCCCCTTTCTGCAACAGACTCTCAGGGTGTCCCTGTGAGGGTGAGGGCAGCAGCGAAGTTCACACAGTTATTGACAACATGGCAGCATGCTTTTCCCTGTCCAGGCAGGTTCCTCACACTCTAGCACCACTGTGGAATACTTAGGTCTCAGGATGTGTACAGGAGAGCACGGAACTTTTCAGGATCCAGACATTGGCCTTCCAAGGCCCTGTGTCTATGGGATGGGTTTATTTGTCAGCTTGTTACAATGGCAACAGAGCACCCTGGGCAGAGGGAGCCTTCTCTTCGCCTCCACGAGCCTGGCATGTCGACTGGCAGCAGTGAGCTGTTTCATGCCAATGCCGACACTGGCATGGGGCTAGACACTGCTCTGTCGCGTGCTACCCGGAAGGAAAGAGGCTGGACTGCTGGGCAGCTTGCAGCTGAGATCTCCCTCTGGAAAATTCTATCTCATGCCCACTGTCTGCCCTGAGCTGCACTTGCCCCAAAGCAGGTGGCTCTATGCTTGCTCCAGACCTGCAGGAGCCTCAGATCCCCCTGCTCCCGAAGGTCTTTGCCTTCTAAGGCTGAGATCTGGGGCTTCTGTCACCCAAGCCCAACTCCTGGTCCCTCAGACCCTCTGGACAAGCCATGCAGTATGAAAGTTCCAGAAGAGGAACCAAAGACTCAACGCTAGGCCCTGAGGGCAGAGGAAAGGCTGTCCGGTGGGAGGATTAGATGGTTCTGGCTGCAGTTCTCCCATGGGTCTTCCCCAGCCTCCTAGACTCCGTGTCAACCAGGACGCCAGGTCCCTGCATCCAGAGACTACTTGTGCCCTGCAGTGCTTGGTAAACATTAGCACCCAGCTCCACGGGTGCCCCCAGTCCTCCAGCCTGTGGGGTGCTACTGTCCCTGGATGTCCAGGGAGAGGTTCCCTGACACATTCCAGGGATGAGTTCCTGAGAACTGGGTCTGGCTGGGCCTCAGATGCTCATCATCTGACCAGCCATTCTGTCACCCCGGCCACATAGTAGCTAGAAAGCCATGCAGGGAACTGTGTTTCTCTAGGACTGCAGGTTTCCCTCTAGATACAAGGCCGCCCCACAGAAGGGAGAAAAGGGAGTGACAAGTGACAGAGACCATGTTGTCACCCAAACATGGACCTAAAGCTCCACTTCACCCATTCTTCACTAAACAATCATGGTCAGGCTAAGCCCACGAGCCTCAGGCTCCTCACCAGTGAACTTCAGTTTGGCTCTGGATTTACTGATAAGTGCCTGCATCAAAGAACTTGCGACAAATAATAGTGGCAATGTTTGAAGTTGCCATCCCTAGCTGGGACATGGTGGGCTCCTCCTTTCCTGCTCCTGTGTACCAGGCAAGAAAAATGGAGTACAGTGTACTGGGGCTCTTAACCAAAACACCAAGGCCACGGCTCTTTGCTGTGTGTGCTTAAATTGTTCAGGTCATGTACAGAACCAGCCCCATATTGGGTATGGGAGGTGTGGGGGAGATAAAGCACACTCAAGTCAAATAAAGGCAGGGCAGTCCACATCGGGCCAGGGCAGGGTTTCAGAGTAGTGACAGCAGCTCCCGCAATGGGTGAGGGGACAGCGTGCGCCTCTGACAGGTGGGAGGTGGGAGTTCTCCTTCTCCAGCTCCAAGAGGACAAGCTGCCTCCTGGTGCCTGGGGAGACAGCACTTCTGTCCTCTTCACTCTTCCTGGACAGAAGAGGTTATCATATCACCACAGAGACTCCTCGGCGGGGGTGGACTACACGGGATATGGTGGGCACCAGAAAGGTCCCTTCCATTAGGGTCTTTTACATCTCAGGTTGAAGAATTAACCAACAGTGGTGCCAAGATGGAACACAGTATCTGGGAAAGGACCAGAGGAAGGGGAAGAGGGGGCAAGGATTTCTTGGACACCTGCTCCATGCTAGAAAATTTACATTTGTGGTTTCATCTGGTCGTCTCAGAAACCAGGCTCCCAGAGCCCTCAAAGCCTGGACAAAGTCCCAGGGAAGGAGCTGGGATTTGAAGCCAGGTCTGACTTCCAACTGTTCTTGTGGCTGGAGGAGGAGCCACCAGATGAGCAGGGAGCCAGGGCTGGGAGGGGCTGTCAGGAGGAAGTTTATGTCCCGTGTATAGATTATTCTCGAGCCATATCAGTTTGCTTCCAGGTAGCCACACACCTATTTTGTTACAGCTTGATTTGACAGGATAAATCAGCAAAAAAGGAAATTATTGCTATGAATACTTGGATAATTTTTTCTATGTGCCTCAAAGGATGAAAACCACTTACCAAAAGCAAAACCAAAGCGGGGGTGGGGTGGGGGACCCAGCACTTAATGCCTGAACAACAAATGTGCTGAAAGAAACTTCCAAGACTAAGGTCACCAGGCTTGGTGGAGTAAATCTTGGAGTAAATCACTGGAGTAAATCACTGGAGTAAATCTTAACTCTAACTGGCACAGCCAAGAGCAGAGAAGGTCAAGCGAGGACCTCACTGTGCACTTGCTGGCCAGGATTAGATGTTCAGAGCCAAGCTGCAGGGAAAGATTTCGGGTGGAGGACAAACATAATTAGCTAAGCCATTGTGGCATACACCAGGAAGGGGATATAACTGTGTTTATACATAACTCTGACATTACCTGATGTTAACAAATTTACTAAAATGCCAGCCACGGTCTTGACAATATTGGGTGCAAAATACTGGTGTACACAGATCTTACAGGTTGCTTTCCGAGAGTTGGATCGCAAAACAAGGTTAACAGATGGCAGAGGCCTGAGGGGAGGCAAGCACACTGATTTTATTGAGAAAAAAGCTTATATACTGTGGGGTTGCTGAAGTTTAATAAATAAAGGTCAACTTATAATATATAAAAACAATATAAACATTTATATGCTACATGCATATCATATAATTTAAAGTAATAATTTATGCACGGGGAGACGCAGACTCATGTTCTTCCGATTTTTCTCGACAAGGCACACACGCAGGAGGTGTCTATGCGGATCCAGCGCCAGCCCACGAGTTTGTTGTTCTCTGAAGTCAGTGCCCGGACGTAGGTCTGGGATGTTTTGCACTGAGAGTTCCAGTGTTTGTCATCGATCCCCCTGCAACCGTTTTTGACCGGCCGGGCTTCTTTACATCTGGTTTCATAAAAATATTGTTTGACGGGAGAGTTGCCGGTCTTGATCTCCCCCAGAACCGTGACCTGGTGTCCCCGAATGTCGATGGCGGATGACTTGTCCGTCACCCACAGGCTCTCACTGTCACACACCGAGTACTCCCCTCGGTGACTCTTATGCTCTGCGTACCGTCTCCGCCGCGACGTTCTGTTGGCCCCCACAGGGCCGCCCACGTGGTCCTCCATGAGGTACAGGGGTGGGGGCTCCAGGGGCGCGCTGGAGCTCAGTAGGACCCGAGGGGACCTGTAGCGTCTCTGGTGCCTCAGCGGTTCTGTGTCCGCCACAGTCATGGGCTGGAATTCGGACCTGGCGGGCTCCCCCTGCTCCGGCCTGCGGGCGGCCTCTGCTTCGGGCAGGGTGCTCTGGTAATTTCCCTTAATGTCCACCATCTGCTTGGAGAGCTTGTTTTTCAAAAGATCTGCCTGGATCAGCTTAATAATCAGGGAATTGAGCGAGTCTTCCGGCAAACTCCTCTGATCCATGTTGTTACCTTGGATGCCACGGAGATAAGCGAGAAATATCACATAAAACAAGATGAACATCCCCTTGTTCACCTGTAAGATCTGAAAAGGAAACAGAGGCGTTAACGGCAGGCTGTGGCAGCTGAGAGGCCCCGCTCTCCTGGCACTGGCCCCAGAGGCTCAGAATTCCTGAGGTGGCCAAAGAGAGCCGGTGCCACCACCCCAGGTAGGCTACAGGACCCTCACTACATATTCAGAAGGGGCTGTTTCCGGCCCCTGGCTCTGGGGACACAGCCAGGTGTGTGCGTCTGCTCTCCTCCCTGGACAGACAGGACCAGCTGCGCTCTGGCCCGTCTGCCTCATCCAGCAACCTCCGAGGGAGTGCGGATGATGTCCTGATACTGTAACCACTTCTTGAGGCCGGAAAGACCAAGCCTCTCTATCTCAGCCGACTGTGAAGCCTCAGCCTGAGGAATATAAGTGAGTAGTTGCATCCCTTTAGCAGCAGTACAGCGTGTAAGCTGTCTCAAGAAAAAGAACTCTGTGGCACCCCAACTCCAACCCTGAGTCTTCTCAAGGACACACCGAGGCTGGGGTCTGCAGCCGCTGTCCCTGTGCTGTGACAGCAAACCTGGCAGAGTCTGTTCTCTGGCTGCTGTGAGTGAACACACAGGGCCACTTCCCATGCTGTGGGGCAGCCCGTGCCTCCGGGTGCCGTGCCAGGCTCTCAGACAGAGACCACCAGGCAGCCCTGCTGATCCAATGCCCCCAGAGACCCTGTCCTCCTAACAGCAGCCTTGCAGGGACAGTCACCCCCTGCAGACAACAGCCGGGCGACAGACCCAGCTTACCTAGCCAGTCACAGTGGCAAGAGGCACTGTGGGTCCACCCACCCTGCTCTGGATTTCTTAAAGTTTCCATTACAAAATGTTTCTTTTAGTGATTCTATTTCTAATTCGACTATCTCCTTGCTTAAGTGGCACTCCAGTCCATCAGCTCTCTGATTCTGTTGCCATAGTAGCTCCTGTTGAGTCCTCATGGGATTACAGAGCTGATCTCCAGACACCTTCCTGCTGGTCCCCTGCACTGGAGCGGAGCCCAGACCTGCTGAAGGTTAGCACAGGAAGGAGACACCGAGGCGGACGGGCAGCTGAGCCAGGGATCCTAAGCCGCAGCCTGGTGCATACCAGTGCCCTTGTTGTCGCTGCCACCTCCCTGGCTCCCAGGGGCTCATCATTTCCTCTTTCAAGTTCTGCCTAAACATGGAAAATAAAAATGCTTCCCGTGGCTCACCTTTGGTATTTTCAGAAAGACTTTACTAAGTCCAGAGGGAAAACAGATAGGAAACAAACAAAGTTGTCAGGAGAAAGGGCAACACAGCCTCCCAGGGCCATGTCAGCCTGCCTTGTACACTGAGCCTCTTTCCTCATCCCATCTGAGGGTCTGCTGGCTCTTTTGTCTCCAAAGGCCAACAGTCATGCAGGACTTCCCCTCCTGGCTCCTGGACTGTCCATGTGGTAAGGAGACCATCCTCCCCACCAGGAACCAATCTCTGGACAACAGACTGCTTCAAGGTCAAAGCTAGAGTCTGGTAAGGCTCCCTACCCCTAGAGATTGCCTTCAGAGTTGCATTATCCCAGTAAAGTGGTTCCCACAGGATGATCAGCACCCACCTTCCCACTCTGCACAGAAGTGGCATTTTCTTCAATGCTGCAAGCCCAGCGAAATGAAACTTGAACATAAAAAGTAAAGTGTCAGGCAACTAAAATCACTCAGCCCAAAATGATACTGCTAAAATAAAATAAAGGATCTACCAGTCTGTAGAAAGACAATTTATAAAATCTCCCCTAAGCCCAGCCACCGTAAGGTAAGAGCACACGGGACACCTGATCACAGGGAACCAAGCCAAGGATGGCTTGTCAGGGGCTTCCTAGTAGTGTGAGAGTCAGTGTGACACTTTGGTCAGTGAGGTAACCACAGCAGTGAGCTGAGAGGGAGAATGCTGGGCAGTGCTGGAGGACACAGCATGGAGAAGAAAGAGTCTTCGAAGCTGGTGGTCTGAATGTGGAACTGAAGGTTCTGAGTAGATAAGCCACCTACAATCTGATGCCTCCCTTTTTGTGTTAGTCAGCTTTCCAATACTATAACAAATCCCCGAGAGACTCGAATGACAAATAGAAGAGGGTTATTTCAGATCACAGTCTCAGAGGTTTCAGCTCATGACTGATGGATCTTGTTGCTTTGGTGCCACGGTGACACATCACAGTGAGAGCACATGGTGGAGGGGAAAAGAACAAAGAAGAGACCAAGGGCCCACGGTTCCTTTCCAAGGTGGCCCCCAGTGACCTGAACACGCCTCCCAGGCCCTGCCATTAGGGATCATGACCTGCCTGTGGTTCTATGTAGGGGACGAAGCCCCTTTAAAATGCATCTTTGGGGCCATTCCAGATTCCCATGTGGAAATTTCACAGCTAAGGAAACCCAACTTCCATGTTCCAGGAGGAGCCACACAGGGAAGCAGAGGCATTCTTCCCGCTCCAGCCCTGGCCTCCCACTTTTGCCCCATGGTCCACCCCACTGATGAATCTGCTGCCCAAGTTAGTGTCATGATAGCCCCTACACACGTGCTGTGCCTTCTGCCTGGTCACTCCTGTGACCTGGCATGTTGAAGTCGTTCCCACCTTCAGCGCCAGGCTCGTGAGTTGACTTCCCTGTGAAGCTCCCCCAGACCCTGTGCCTCCTTTGTCTCCCCAGCCTGTTCTCCAAATGGCTACACAGCGAGTACCACATCTCTCCCAGCTCTGCACCGCTCAGTGTGGGCCCATTTCTGCATCTGTGCTGTTTCTGCTATCAAATCTGAACAGCTGGCCATGAGAGTCCAAGTCAGCACTGGGAGTGAATCACACACATACAAGCCTGCTTTGAAACCCAGCAGGCATCCCGAGAGCTTCTAGCTTTTTTCATAGAAAGCAAACCCCAAAATGTTGCTAAGCGAACCTCCAAGACACACAAGTTTGAAGCCTCGGGCAACCTCTTCACTCTTGTGGGTAAGGACATCGAGGCTTGGAGCGGTAAGGTCAGACTGCTAATTAGTGGCAGAGAGTGACAGAAGGATCTTGGGCCTCCGGTTCAGCAGATGTTATGTGGTCCGTGCACAGTGAGCTTTACGTGAAAGCACCGAAGACAGCACTGGCACTACAGAAACGTCAGATGCACACGAGCCTAGTTTCTGGGGCCGCCTGAGGGGCCTCTTGCCTGCTCCCGTGGCACGCACACTCGCACGAGGACCCTGCATCTGGAGAGCTCCTTCCTCTCCGTCTGGCTCCCAGCAGTCTGCACCAGGATCTGGGCCACAGGGTCTTCTCCCAAGTGCTCACAAGAGCTTGGATCTCAGAGCAGCCACACTGGCGGTGGGAGAAGGAAAGAGTATCAGGATTGGGAGGTGGGAGCACGGAGAAGGGCAACACGAAGAAGGCAAGTTGGGGAACTGTGAAGTGGCATTTCTCAGTCTGCTTGGTTTCCTGCCTTCTCTCCTCAGGTGGAACCTCCCAGGTGCGATTCCCCTGCTGGGGGGAATGGATGCAAGGAGGCCGAGTCAGCAGGGCCCAGGTGAGGCGAGGCAGTGGCTTTCTGTGCTAGACCTCAGTCCTTTGTGGGGCCCTGGTGAAGCAAGTACTGTGTTCTCATCACCCACACATATCCTCCTCGGCAAAGGGGACCTTGCCCTTTTCAGCCACACACCAATGGTGCCCGGCACAGGGCCAGACAGGTGGCAGAGTTGCAGTGTCTGTTCAGGGAATGGGCATCGCGACAACCAAGACCTGCGGAGGCACCGCTCACTGGCTGGGAGGCGGCATGGGATTCTGCCAAGCCTTGTTTTGGAAGCCAATCAACTCTGCCTTCTTTTCCCAAAGAAAATGCAGGCCCTGGCTCTAAAGCAGCCATGGTCCCCAGGCTCTTCTTGGCTATAATTAGAAAAAGACCTGTTAAAGACCTCAGTAAAACCCTTTCCTACACTCTCCCTAGTGCCCACTTCTCCCGCTTGGCGTTTTCCCAGATCCTGACCAATGTGCACATGCTATTTCCCCACTTAGAAATGCTTTCCCACATATGGTGTTTTCTCAGTCCCCGGAGCAACATTCCTATAAGGTTTCACCATCCCTCAAAATACTCAAAAGAGAGCAGTTTCTGATTTCTCCTTTTGGCTCAGTTTGCAATACACTCAGAGGGCTTCTGGGTATCCATGAAAGCGGCTGAGTTGGAAAGAGGGGCTGGTGCAGGAGCTGAGACCACAGCAACCTGTGTCTGTCCTGTCACACACGGAGTCGAGACTGCATCCTTCAGGCTCCAGTTTGCCTCTCCAGGACATTTCCCTACACTGGACCAGCTACTGACCATGCCTTCCAGTCGCCTCTTAGAGAGAGTGCATCATTAGCCTGCTAGAGCAAGAGCATCTTGAATAAAAATGCTGGAGTCCATATAATGATGTATGTGAAACCTGTGATGCTGTTAACAACCTCACAGAGGGAGGTACTTTTATATATCCCATTCCAGATAGGGAAGCTGAGGCACAGGGCAGTTAGACAACTGGCTGCTAAGCAGAACCAGGATCTGAGTACAGTCTGGTGCCAAGATCCATGCTCTTAATGACCACACTCTGCCACCTCTCTGTCTTTCCTGCTCTCCATCATCCCCTGCACATATTTCCAGGGCAAGCCGGATTTCCAAGCCTGGAGCCAGGACAGCTGCTGTGAGCACCTCCCCAAGAAGCCATGGACATGGACCTTGTAGCATCTGCAAGGGTCTGGGGCCACCCCTTCCAGTTCCTCCTCCCAGATTCCTTAGGAAAAAGGAAAGCACTGCTCATGAAAGTAAAGCAAATCCAGCGCAGCCCAGGGCCTGATACCTCCTGAGGTACCCCGTGACTGCAGAGAGCTCAAGTTGCAGGGGACAGAGCACTGGATGTACCTTCTCACTTCTGAGTGAGCAGCCAGCCCTGGACACTTGGTGACTTTTAAAGGGAGGCAGAGAGGCTCTGTTTTAGCTTTCCTCAGAAAGGACTCAGAAAATCAAATGTGAAAAGAATTTTTAATTTGTCAAAT